TCAGGTTATTCTGTTTTTGCTTCAGATTTTGAAATTATACAGTCTAATATAAATCAAACATTGCACTTTTTTTTCAATTCATGATTAAAATGCAGTGGTTGGCTCTCATTTCAAATAGCTATGAAAAATCAAAGTGCAACACAGAATGAAGAATATGCAAATGGTATTTTATATGTGTTTTTTTTTCAATTTCTGTACCTGAACATCTACAAACATAAAAACCTAAAGCATTTAATTTCTATTTTTGTGCTATAATAATTGATAATTGCCTATATTTAATTGTGCTATTACTTGTAATTTGTTCATTTGTTCTTATTTACTGGCTGTCACTTGTCTTTAATAATGTTTAAACTTTATATTTATGTTTATTTTTGGCTAGTGATTTTTGCTGTGGTATCGAAATTGAAATAGAGAATTGTAAAATTTAATTGGTAACTAAAATATTGGTGTCATATAACCTTATTTATTAGAATACAAGATAACAGCTCAAAAACAATGATGACAGCAACTATTTTATTTTTTGTGGCAGAGCCAGTGAAAATGTTGGCAGGGCAAGTAAAAATTTGAACCACTGGCCCGACCGGCCCAGTAGAAAAAATCCTTAGCGTTGATCCCTGTATACGCAATAATATTAAGGCACCAAATAATGATGTGAACATGGATGTTTAAAAAAAATATATTTTTTTTAAGAATATTATACTTTCAGCAAGTCTGTTTTGTATTTAGGAGTCGCATGATGGAGCAGTACTTCTCCAACAGTGGCCACTACTGTCTGAATCTGGACAGCGGCATGTTCATCGACAGCTACCACATGGGCAACGAGGCTCGCTTTATCAACCACAGCTGCGAGCCCAACTGTGAAATGCAGAAATGGTGAGTGATGAGTCACTGAAGAAGTACGGTAAAAAAAATTCCATCAGCTTCTGATTATCTGAAACAGAAAGGTCATTTTTAAAGATGAGTCATTGGGGACGTGGACAACCACAAGTAGTGAGAGAGCAATGACTTTATCCTTTAGAAATTGCTGAATTATGAGCAAGCCTTGGGCATGTTGACCAAATTAAAGAGGAAGAGGTCACTGCTGTTGAAACTTGTTTCATAAATTAGTTTAATTAGTCAGAATCTAAAAGATTATATATTAGCAATGTGAACTCAAGATCCAGGTCAGTGACCAACATCTGCTTGGTACCGTGACAGAATTACACACGTTGAGTGTTGGTGTTCACACACAGTCCACAGAAAAATGTAATCTCCTCCCATCTCTTGCTCTGTCTACGTTTTTCTCTTTCATGCACACACTAAAAACAGTGCTTGTAGGCTGGACGGTGGCAGATCATCCATCTAGTCACAGAAGAGCGATTATCTGTAGCTTGTGTTTTAGGGTGGGGGACACAGCTGTGCTGCCCAGTGGTTAGTTGTTAGAGCGCACACACACCCACATCTGTGCCAAAATGGCCTCATTCTACCTTATTGCATAATGTACAACTCAGCCTAGTTGTTCAGTATCAAGCCCAGAATGTTTGATGTTTCTTGAGTTAATTTGCTTTCAAGGTTCAACATTCATACGCAATGCAGCTACAATATATTAAAGCAGTAAGACAGACAAGACTTCTACCGTAGTTACACTACTGTTCAACAGTTTGGGGTCAGTAAGATTTTTTTGGTTTGGAAAAATTGTTTTATTCAGTAAATTGATCAAAAGTGACAGTAAAATGTTTACATTGATGCAAAAATTATATTTCAAATAAATGCTGTTATTAAAGAGTCCTGAAAAAAAATTGATCACTGTTCCACAGAAATAGTAAGCAGCACAACTGTTTTCAACATTAATAACAATAAGAAATGTTTCTTGAGCAGTAAATCAGCATATTAGAATGATTTCTGTAGTATCATGTCACACTGAAGTAATGGCTGCTGAAAATTCAGCTTTTTCACCATAGGTGTAAATTGTATAATAAAATATATTCAATTATAAAACGGTTAGTTCTATTCCTCGATTCTGATTGGTCAGCAGCTGTGTTTTAGTCACGATACAGCACAGCTATGACCGCTTCACCCAACGTTCTGTGTATCACTGAGCAACACCCTTAGCAACCAACCTTAGTAACATAATCAATAATCTAGCATTAAAATTGTTTCGTGTATTATGTATTTCGGCAGAATTAACTTTATTTATTTAATGAAGTATGAATGACCCCTGCTTGGCGTTATGTTGCATCTTTCATCTTTAACTTTGAGACCCCGCCCTTCCCCCATCTAATAAAGGCTTCTCACACGGAGATATGTTGATTAGGGGTGTTCGGTTCCAGGTTTTTCCGGAGTCGACTCCGACTCTCGACTCCTACCATAAGAGTCGATGGAATCGACTCCATTTAGCGTGACTGTCCAAATTAGTCCAATTTAGCGGTGACATTACCTTTAAATCACCGTTGTTTGCTGTTGCCGACACTTAATTTCACTGAGGGTAAAGTCACAAAAAACAACCGTGGTGGAATATTCTCTCAGAATTAAATAAAAAATAATATATTCTTTAATGAATTCTTCACATTATAATGGTCAGGGGATGGCGCTAAACGCATATTGTCTTAAACAGCATTGATATTAAAAAATAAATACAATAGGCCTAAATACAAAAATACATTAGAATGTAGGCCTACACGTACTGATTTGTTTATTGTGTGTCAATTTTTAATCATTTAAGCTTAGTTTAATGATTGAATAGCCTATATGGAAAACCAAATGTAGCCTATAGGCTATTGACTGCATTAAACATAGGCTAACATTGCATAACAAAACTTCAATTATACAAAGCTGTCACAGAAGCATGTATAATTACAAACTAAATGTACTATTCCACACCCGTTTCACACATACTCCGTTTGCAGTGTGTATTTTTTACGTTCCCATGTTGAACAATTCACTCGATGCGTTCCGAGCGGTGCGTATGCAGCATTGCAGCGATCGTTTCCGCACCGAGTCAATTTTTGCTGTGCTGCACACACTGAATTAAAGTGACAGGGCGTTGCTCACATTAAAACTGTACATTGATACATAAATGCATATAGGCTAATTGAAGTAGTTTTAGCTATAGGGGTAAAGCAAGGAAAAGTACCTTAACTTTTAGATAAACATGGTAACCGATGGCACTCGTGGGGTTAGAAAACCAAAGTTCTTTTTATGACCAACAGGGTTACTTTTAAATGCAAAAGAAAAGGCACGAGACGGCTGTTTCTGTCAATGGTAAGTTTTAATTTAAAATTGTGATGCCTACTACCTGTTTGCCACTTGCTTGAGCATCTTAATATATAAACTTAATATATAAATCAGTACAGAAGTAAAATGCATTTAATAATATTGCGCTTAAACATGAATGTCTATGAAAGATACCGTGTGAAAAGATAATCACTATGCTGAGAGAGAAAAAAAATAGTAACAACATTCGAATTTGAAATAAAAATAACGGTGGTAAACAGCCGCGGATCATAGCGCACTGAGCACACTAAATAAAGCACACTGAGCCCGTGCTGCCTCTGCACCGCATATACGAACTGCACACGGACTGCACTGCAAACAGATGCTCGCTTAATTTCGTTCACTCTTTGCTGATATACAGCACTCAACTGCCATGCACTATATAGGGATTTGAGAATCAGTGAAGACATCAGCGATTTCAGAGTCGACACCGAGAGTCGATTCCAGTGCTGGAGTCAACTCCGACTCTAGGGCTATTCAGAATTGAGGAATCGACTCTTTTGGAGTCGACTCCCCATCCCTAATGTTGATGTGTGTACACGTCTGTGTGGAAGCCCTACAGTTTCCGAAGTGAAGAAGGAATATTACTGAATTTATTCGTTTTCTGTTTCAGGTATGATTCTGTATGTCCATCAGTTTACACTGTAATGACGCTTGCAAACTCGCGCTGTGCCGCAAATCGGTCTGTTTTAAAACTAAAAGACTGAAAACAGACATTTCCTCATGCTGAGAGATAAGCAGATGTATGTGTGTGAGAAAATATCATATGGTGTTAAAAAAAAAGACACTGCGGATAAGAGCTCCTATTCTCTGTTTTTATTTAAGCTCCGTTAGATGAGGCATGTTCGGAACATTCTCTTGCCGTTTACTGTTGCTGTCAGGAACAATTTTTTAGCGGAAGGACAGCATTTAACGAACTTGCTTTAAAAAAAAAAGTAACATTTCAATACATACATTTTTGGTTTTAATATTTTTTTTTATTGTGTGGTAACCTTTTTTATATAAGCAATAAGGTACTCGAGGCCGTGCTGTATCGTGAATAAATCACGGCTGAAGGGGGTTGATTTATTCATGATACAGCACAGCCTCGTACCTTATTGCTTACATAGAAAACAGTTATTTTAAATTTGAATAATATTTCACAGCATTACTGGTTTAAAAAAACTTAATGACCGTTTCTTTTGAATTGTAAAGTATAAATAAAAATATTAATATTGTAAGTATATTATTATTGTAAATAATAAAATAAAAGCTTTTTAATTTCTGTGCACGTGACTGCACGGTGATTTGAACATGGCTTGTACAATCAGATTATAAGAGCCGCGACAATCTGTATTATTGCTTTTGAAACTAAGCTTGAGCTTGAGTCTGTCTTTCTCTCAGGTCGGTGAATGGAGTGTACCGTATTGGTCTGTTTGCTTTGAAAGACATCAACAGCGGAACAGAACTGACATATGACTACAACTTCCACTCCTTCAACACAGAAGAACAGGTATGGAAGAGTTGTGGTCACCCGTATCCTGCATGTCTGGAACGTGCCTGTCTGAAGCATGTACATACACATGCACAGTGTGTATATATGCAGATGTGTTTTGTAGCGGATGCTTGTACTTCATTCATCCGGATCGGTGGTGTTGATTCAATCACTCATAGCCACTTAATAATTTCAGCCACAGAATCTAAAAGGGATGGGACTCAGAAAATTTTATTTTTGTGAGCGTTTATTTTTATTTATTTATTATGTTATATTAAATATTATTACATTTCTATTTACTTTTTTTTTTTTTTTTTACATTTAAGCATCAGATTTTTCATTTGTGTTTGTTGATAGATTTGAACCTCTAGTAGATGTTTAACATTTTTCTCTTGCCAAATGATGTTTCTCTGCTCTTGTTGCTATGCAGCAAGCCTGCAAGTGTGGCTCAGAGGGTTGCCGTGGCATCATTGGCGGCAAGAGCCAGCGAATCAATGGGCTGCCTGGGAAAGGGGGTGGATCAGGGGGCGGAGCCCGGAGGCTGGGGAGACTGAAAGAGAAACGCAAGTCCAAACACTCACTGAAGAAACGGGTATGACACAGTACATTCAATAATGATGCACTACTATTGGCTACTTCTCTGCTCTTGTTGCTATGCAGCAAGCCTGCAAGTGTGGCTCAGAGGGTTGCCGTGGCATCATTGGCGGCAAGAGCCAGCGAATCAATGGGCTGCCTGGAAAGGGGGGCGGAGCCCGGAGGCTGGGGAGACTGAAAGAGAAACGCAAGTCCAAACACTCACTGAAGAAACGGGTATGACAGTTCATTCAATAATGATACACTACTATTGGCTTCAGTAGCTACTAGTACAACATTTTCCTAATGCAAAACCATTTTTGTTTCTATTTGACCTTTAAGGAGGAAGAATCCAGTGACAGCAGCAAGTTTTACCAGCACCTTTTAATGAAGCCTATGTCAAACAGAGAGAGGTAGGATGCCATCACACACTTTTTATTTTCTGGGCGCTGGATTTAAAGGGTCATATTTTACATGCTTTGCAAGTCCAATTAAAAGTCAAGGATGTTTTTGTACCAAAAACAGTCATAATTTCAGTTTACATTTGGCACATTTAATTAAACGGTGTGACTTTAAATGAAAATGACCTCTAATATAATAGACTAATCTCTCATACTCAGACATCCTCCACTGATTTCTTGTTTAATTTAGAAACTTTGTGCTGAAACATCAAGTGTTCCTGCTGCGGAATTGGGAGAAGATGCGGGAGAAACAGGAACTTCTGAAGCGAGAGGGAGAACGAGAGAGGGACAACAGTGGTCTTTCTCCTTACACCCGCTGGGGAGGAGTCATCCGTGATGACGGCAACATCAAGTCAGGTGTGTGTGGACGTGCACAAAAGTTATCAACTTGATCTCAAGTTATAGAGTCTTCTGCTTAGAGTCTTCAGGTCAATGTTGCATGATTAGCATTGTGCTGCTTTTTTCCCCAGATGTATTTCTGACTCAGTTCTCAGCGCTGCAGACGTCACGCTCTGTGCGCACACGCAGACTTGCGGCAGCTGAGGAGAACATGGAAGTTACACGCACTGCACGCCTGGCACACATCTTCAAGGAGATTTGTGACATGATCACAAGCTACAAGGGTAAACAGATGCTAATTTGTTCACACAAACACCATCATACTCACACCCATAAAAACCTGCAGTTTTTGCTATTGATTGTATTGTTGGCAGTCTCTTTAAGGGCTGCATAATCATTTTCATTATGATTGCTCAGCAAGAAGCAAAGGTCATAATCATGGTGTAGACATTGAGTTTGACATGCATTTGTAGTTTGTGAACTTATCAAGTGTTGACACTCATTAGTTATTTGTTCTGATGGAAATCTCATTTTAAATGATTTAGTTATGCAAAATTCAATTAGTGAGGTATGCGATTCTGCAAAAGGCTTTGATTTTGATTTAATCTTGAACGTTGATTCTACTTTCAATTTAATCTTAATGAAATTTAGTTTTATTGCCTCAGTGTCATGAGACTTACTTTCACATAAACACATTGCTTATGACCTGCATTCTCACATAATCAGTTGCTTTCTTGTTCTTTGAAGATTCATCTGGTCAGACTCTCGCTGCTCCTCTGCTTAACTTGCCTTCGAGGAAGAGGTGAGAACAATATTATGTTCTTAGTACAGATTATTTCCTATATAAATATGTGCTTTTTGAGTATTTGGTGCAGTTAAAGGGTCTACAGAGGCTTTGTTGTTAGAGACCTGCAAATATGGCTGTTATAACATTCTGACGTATTAATAACTGCAGTGAGAACAGTCTAAGTTGTGTTTTATGGTCACTGTGGTGTCTTCATCTTTTACAGCAATACTTGCTTTTTTGTGCTATGTCCATATGTGTCCACAGGAATGTACAGTACTATGAGAAGGTCACCGATCCGCTAGATCTCAGTACCATAGAGAAGCAGATCCTCACTGGACACTACAAAACTGTCGAGGCATTTGATGCAGACATGCTCAAAGTGTTTCGCAATGCTGAGGTTAGTGTCACTTACACTCATTACTCACAAATATGATTATAGCAGGCTATAATGTAAATCATTATGATATCATTATAGGTAATGATAATGAAAATAATTATAATAAAATAATTGTAGTTAATGTAATAAATACAAATTAATAATTGATTTGGAAAAATGGTGCACTCTGTAATTTTGTCCTCATTAAAAGAAAAGGTGTCAAAATAAAAATTAACAAAACTTAAAATAAAAAATAGTATAGAATAAAGACAAAGATTTTTTATTTTTTTCTACAATTAATTAATTTTATTAAATTTTTATTTTATTTCGAACAAAGAAAATATATATAAAACTAAATATACAAACACAATAAATGTGTTGCAACATAATATAGGCAAACCCACATCTACCAAATGCTGCAAACAATAATTACAAGTCCGAAATGACTTTTCTAAATTAGACATGTAGAAAACACTTCAAAGAATCTTCTCTGGCTTATTTTGTATTGGTTTCCTTAATCTCTCTTGTACATTTCCTTATTCTCAACAGAAATATTATGGGCGTAAGTCTGCTGTAGGTCGTGATGTGTGCCGGCTGAGGAAGGCGTACTACGGTGCGCGTCATGAGGCTGCTGTCCAGATTGATGAAATTGTGGGCGAGACGGCCAGTGAGGCCGACAGCTCTGATTCGCTGGAGAGAGACCACGCCCACCATCACCATGACGGAGGAGGCAGCCATGACAAAGACGATGATGTGATTCGCTGCATCTGTGGCATGTACAAGGATGAGGGGCTCATGATCCAGTGTGAGAAGTGCATGGTATGTGCTCATGAGTAAGATTATGGATTTGAATCCCTAATCTCCCTGTTGAGGAGAGCTGTTTTCACCTGGTAGACTGTACAATTGGCAAGAAGTGATCAGATTTCATATCTAGAGACCTGAATATTAAAGAGGCTTGGAAATAGTATTTTGTTACAAAAAGCAACCATCTAGAACACCATACCAACTGCATTGACACATCCTACATACCAGGGGCGTTTCCTCCGAGGAGGCAAGGGAGGCAGTGTTTCTTCTTCTCAAAAGTGGATGAGAAAATAATCAATATTACAAAAATAAAACAATGCAAATATGACTACATATGACATTAAATGTCTAAAAGTCACTCGTTTTTATAAAGTAGCACTGTCCAACAGCGACACCCGCAGGTAAAGTTAGAGCGGAGGCTTGCCTCCCTTCGGTCCATTAGACTTTCTAGAGACTCTAAAGCGTGCTGTGACTTTTCTGGAGGCTCATTGAGTTGAATGGGGGAAAGTCATGTGAGAGGAGGCAATGCCTCCGTCACGCTATAATTGAATATGATTGGTTATGATTGGATGTGATTGGTTTGTGTGATAAATCCCGCCTCTTGTTTTCGTGCGAGCTCTCGGCCAAATGAAGAAAATGATGGCATTATTGACTATTTATAAAGTAAGTAAACAACTCTCCTGCTTAGATATCACTGCTTTGTCACATCAAAATGAAACATGAAATGACTTGAAAACGTGATGACTGTGCCAGTTGTTAGTGAGCATTCAGCTTGATGAAATGAAAGATGTATCTTCGTGCCTGTGACAAAGTTTACAGGGCTTTTATGACGATGACCCGAAAATAAGTTGACTATTAAAAAGAACAGCTTCACAGTTCAGTGTGTTCAGTTCACAAATAAAAAAGTGCAAATAGCCCGCCTTGTTGGCAGAGGCTATTTACACTAATCAATGTGTGATTACAAAGCATTACAAAAGACTATCGTCTAATAACAGCTCCAGTGGCGCAGATGGTAAAGTTGTGTCGAAGTCGTTTTTGACGCGATCGACCGGGGTTCGAATCGCATTTTGCCGAACTTTTTTTTTTCTACTTTTTCAAATCAGATATCACGTCGTTGTTGTTGTTATTATTGCATATTGTTTTATAATGTACTACAATACTGAGGTGCAGATAATTGCCACTATCTGCAATATGTAGTATAAATAGCAGAAAATCCTGCTAGGTGTAAATAGAATCTATATCTATTTGCACTTAGTGTAAACATTAAGTGAAACAAGGACATTAATTATATATATATATATATATATATATATATATATATATACAGTGCCGTGAAAAGGTTTTTGCCCCCTTTGGAAACAATCCAAAACCACAGTAAGGTGGGATGCACAAAGCAGACATATTTAGTACAATTCCAAGAACTGTGCTGTTATTATAATAACTTTGGTATGCATACCAAAAACTCTTCAAAAGGAGTCATTAACAGGTGTGAGGTCAAATGAATCGTTCACTTGTCTAATACATCATCTGCGCTCTTAATAACTGAACATTTGCTTCTTGTACAGAAATGTCTTTTTCTTTTTTAATGCATTTTAAGAATTTGAAATATGTTATTTCACATCGACTGGGGATATATTTTGGAGTTCACATTTATTATAAATGTTTTCTAAGTGTTTTCAATAACAGTATCCGTTATATTGCCTTTAATTTGGTGTTAAATGGTTATAAAGATTTATTGTTGCATTACTGAAAGTACTTTTCACAGTATTTTCACAGTGAAGCTAGGCTATTTGAGATATATTGCAATCCTTATGTACAGCCTAAATATACAGTATATGTGACATATGACTGATGAGACAAAAGTTGAACTTTTTGGAAGGTGTGTGTCCCGTTACATCTGGCGTAAAACCAACACAGCATTTCATAAAAAGAACATCATACCATGAGTCAAACATGGTGGTGGTAGTGTGATTGTCTGAGTCTGCTTTGCAGCTTCAGGACCTGGGTGATTTGCCATAACTGATGGAACCATGAATTCTGCTCTCTATCAGAAAATCCTGAAGGAGAATGTCCGGCCATCAGTTTGTGACCTCAAGCTCAAGCGCACTTGGGTTATGTAGCAGGACAATGATCCCAAACACACCAGCAAGTCCAGCTCTGAATGGCTCAAGAAAAACTAAATTAAGGTTTTGGAGTGGCCAAGTCAAAGTCCAGATTTAAATCTGATTGAGATGCTGTGGCTTGACCTTAAACAGTCCATTCATGCTCAAAAACCCTCCAATGTGGCTGAATGAAAACAATTCTGCAAAGAAGAGTGGGCCAAAATTCCTGTGAAAGACTCATTGCCATTTATCGCAAACGCTTGATTGCAGTTGTTGCTGCAAAGGGAGGCACAACCAGTTATTAGATTTAGGGGGCAATTACTTTTTCACGTAGTGCCAGGCAGGTTTGGACAGCTTTTTTCCCTTAATAAATGAAATCATAATTTCAAAACTGCAGTTTGTATTTACTCAGGTTATCTTTGTGTAATATAAAAATGTGTTTGATGATATGAATCTTTTAAGTGTGACAAATATGCAAACAATTAAAAAAAAACAGGAAAGGGGCAAAAACTTTTTCACACCACTGTATATATACACAGTATATATAACTGCTTCCTCATTTTAAAACACCACCGCACGCCACTGCTACATACCATTCGGAACACCTTAGCAACACCCTGGCAAGAACCAACAGCTTTTTACCTACATAGCAACTAGGGCTGAACGATTTTGGAAAAGAATCAAATTGCGATTTTCTTTTACCAATATTGCGATTGCGATTTAATATGCAATTATTTTTTTAAAGCTCTTTATGTTCTGTATTATTCAACAAAGACAAACTATAAATCATTGTATAGTATGACCAACACACTATTAGATAGATTAAACATAAATGTTCTTTTCTGTAGGCCAGGCCTATATGTTACGATGAAATTAGGTGATGCATGAATTGATATGAATGTCATTTTTATTTAACAACTACAATCATAGTTCATTGACTGATTTGTTGAACTTCCAACCTAATAATTATGTTTAAATGAACCTGGTGTAAACATTAATATGAAAGTCAGTAACAAATCACACAAACTAAAGTAGATTGCCGAAATATAAAAACAAATCTGTTGCTTTACCACACTACTTTGTAATAAACATATGTAAACACGTGCACTTTTTAAACACTGTCTGTTAACTTTAGACCAGTGGTTCTCAAACTTTTTTGGTCGCGCCCCCCTTTAAACCTATAAAAGAAAAAGGGTCTGCCCCCCTTTCCCGAATCCCCATTCCACCTCAGACTACCAAATAATTTCA